TTACTTTTAAAATTTCGCGTATATAATCGCGATTTTCTTCGAATTGCTTTTACATATATTCATGTTTGTATTATCATATTCGCAAATCTGTATGAAAATAGGTGAAAAATATATCGATACGCGAATAATATGCGTATTTTATCCAAAATTGATTGTGGCGGTTCTTAACCAATTCTTTTAAAATAGGTGTACTTTTGTGTATTTTCATTGGAGATTACTGAAATCGGATGCGCATAAAAATCGTATGGACGTTGCGTTATTTTTAGCCATTTTTAGGGTTTTCGCATAGTAAAGTGCATCGAACGGCACACTTTGGCCACTAAATGAAACTTCGAAAAATTCATAATTATTGGAACTGATGAACTGATTTCAACGAATACGCGAACTGTATGCTTTTTAATTTTGATCATTTTCATATACTGTAACTTCTAGATATTTGTTCATTTTTAAAGTGAAGAAATTCGCGAATTACCACAAATAGGAATTCATTTAATTTATATTTGAAATACAAGATTTAAAACGGCTATAACTTTTGTGCGCAGCATCCGAATTTGTGAACGTGAACAGATTTCGAATCAGCATATTTTCCTTAAGCTATGTACCAAAAATCATGAATGTGCTCGCAAAAAAATCAATTTTTTTTAAGGAATTTTCAAAGAATTTTATAATTTCCCATATATACTTTATGAGGTCTTTAATAGTTATTTCGAGATGTTGCAAACGGAATGGCAAATTTAATATATACTATTCCTTATGTTGGAGCGATGGTAAGAATAACTAATAATATTATTTAACTTGTATACTGAAACGAATTATTATTATTTTTTTTTAATTTTACAGATCAATGAAATGGGTAGACTATTTATTTAGATACTGAAAGTCTATGTCAAACCACGATGCTACAAGAATTTGTGGATTTGAAAGTAATTAAATCACACTTATCATTTTTCCCGGCTTCCAAAGCATCACCATCTTCCCATGTATGGTTATTTTGTCTTAAAGTACATTTACATATACGATTTTAAATCGACTCGATTAACGAAATCCAGAAATACACCCTAATGGTTTACACATGCATTTAATCATGATCAAAATACCGATCAGCTTATTTTTGTTAGTATACATACAAAATTATTAATTTGCGCCAAAAATATTTGTTTGCAATTCGATAATGAAAAGAAGATTACAACACTTTTGCAATGCTGTGATCGTTTGGAAAGTAAAAGGAAAACACCTAAAACACAAATATTCTGTAAATAATTTTTATTTTCCATTGATCTTTCATTTTGGTATTTTGTGAGAGTGTTGTATTTCTTCGTACAAAAACCGCGTTGCATCTCAGTAGTATCAGATATCGATCATGATTTAAAATAAACCCTGCCGCACGATGATTTAAAGTACATTTACATATAATATTTTAAATCGACTCGATTAACGAAATCCAGAAATACACCCTAATTGTTTATACATATCATTAATCATGATCTAAATGCCGATCAGCTGATGTTTGTTAGTATACATACAAAATTATTATTTTGCGCCAAAAATATTTGTTTGCAATTTGAAAAATGAATAGAAGAATTACCACAATGGAAATGTTTTTGCAATACTTTGATGCAAAAGTAAAAAAAAACTAAAAACACAAAAATTCTATAAATAATTTTTAGTTTTCTTTGATCCTTCATTTTTGCATTTGTCAACCGTTAAATTTAAAATAAACGGCATGTAAAAACAGTTGCAAATTTTGGTACTTTGTGAGAGAGTTGTATTTTTTCGTACAAAACCCGCGTTGTATCTCAGTAGTATCATGATTTCGATCATGATTTAAAATAAAACCTGCCGCACAATGATTTAAATTTGTATGATAAATCATGGTAAATTCAGCCTGATTAAGAAAATAAGCCCTGATTCAGTCTTTAATCATGATTAGGTGTTATAGGTAAAAACGCTTTTAGTTCTTGGGTAATTAATTATTCGTCGCCAGATATTTCTTGGTCGACCCAGGGTCCAAATCACCGAATTCGTCATCGTGTTCTGTTTCGTATAGAATAACATTTCGATCGTTATAAATTTTTGGATCTCCGCGTTCGATCGTAATTTATTTTGTGTACTATTTTTTTCGATTGCTGTAAACATATGGCAATAAGAAATTGGAAGCGAAGGAGAATGTCAAAATAAGTTTTTGTGATCAAAATATGTCATTTATTGTGTGCAAATATATTACACATTCTATTATGAAGTGAGTGCTTTTAACTAATAGTAGTTCCGTTCCAGAACCTGAAAGATTCTACTAATTTTAGCGGTTTTGCAACTTTTTACTCTAAACCCGCAAAACTAGTAAAATTTTCAAACCAATTTAAGAGAACACAAAACAAAATGGCGTTCTCTTTGTAAATTTTTTACATGAGAAATTTGGCCGAGTAAAAATGGTAAACAGAAATGCTTACTTCTGATTGGCTGTTGTGTTGATTTTGAAGTAATGCCAATTTTTAAATATTTACTAGATTTCCGTTCGGAGAGTGATTTTGACATTATTCCTTTTTACTAGATTTACTACAAAAAAAGAATTGGAACAGACCATATATACATACATCGATAACATACTACCTATGTACAACTTTGAGTAGAAACAATTCGATAACGACTGCAATGATCTACGTAAACTACATTACGATACCGAAGTACTCTATTTCGACTGCGGTGATTTGGCCCCAGGTCTCGTGATACATTAATCGGTGGAAGAATAAAAGTCGAGTGCTATGACCTATATATATTAAAGCCTGCAAAAACATGTCATCTCAATTAATCGGCTCAAGAACAACTAAGCAGCAGGAGCCGATGGGTTACCAGCCGAACTATTTAAGACTGGTGGTCAGATGCTTGTCAGGAGCATGCACCAGCTGGTTAGTAAATTTGGCAGTGGAATGCATGCCCGTGCTTAAAAAAGTAGACAAGACGATATGTGCCAACTATAGAGGAATTACCCTTCTTGCCATTGGACCATACCAATGCGGCTTCACACCTGGCAAATCCACCATTGACCAGATTTTCACTTTGTGCCAAATCCTAGAAAAGACCCACGAAAAACACATCTACACATACCACCTATTCGTCGACTATAAAGCCGCATTTGACAGCCCTATCCGTTCAGAGGTGTTTAATGCCATGTCTACTTTCGGCATTCCTGCAAAATTAATACGGCTATGCAGGATAACTTTAAGTGCCACAAGGTCAGCAGTTAAAGTCGGAAAGGACCTATCGCAGCCCTTCAATACCGAACGAGGATTCAGACCAGGTGGCAGTTTGTCGTGTGATCTTTTTAATCTGAAAAAGGTCATACGAGACGGAAAGGTGAACAGAAATGACACTCTGTACAAAAGACAACACATGTTACTCGCCTACGCCGATGACATCGATATAATGGGTCGAACAATGCGAGCGGTAACAGCGAACTTTGAACAAATTGAGAAAGAGTCTGCCCAAGTGGTTGTGGTAGTAAATGGAGAGAAGACCAAGCTGATGGTATCAACGAGCAAGACGTCCAGTAGACTCGGACTAACTGTGGAACTTGAGAACTACAGCTAAGAGGTAGTTAAAGATTTTATATACCTTGGTACTGTCATAAATAAAACGAACGAATTTTGAAATTCGGATAAGGATTATGATTGCCAACAGCTGCTACTATGGTCTAAGTAAGCAGTTTAGAAACAAGGCCACCTCCCGCCAGACCAAACTCACACTCTACAAGACGCTGATACTACCCGTACTGTTATATGGATCTGAAGCATGGGTACTTGCGCAAGCAAATGAGGCAGCTCTTGGGATGTTTGAGAGAAAAATTCTCCGAAAGATTTATGGGCCGATCTGCGCCGACGGTGAATATCGGCGTCGAATGAACCACGAACTTTACAATTTGTACACGGACATCGTATTGAGATGCAGCGACTACGGTGGCTAGGCCATGTTGTACGAATGAATGAGAATGTCCCAGCTCAAAAGGCATATAAAAGCGAGCCTACTGAAGGTTCCAGTAGAAGGGGAAGACCATGAACATAATGGAAAGACAAAGTAGAAAACAACCTCTTTGAACGTGGTCTTTAAAATTAGAAGATATGCGCACAAGACCGACGCGCTTGGAAATCTTTTTAAGCTCGGCTTATGGAACAACCGTTCTGTAACAAGCCAGCTAAGCAAGTAAAAACATGTCGGAAATCTAGTATTCTCTCTTAAATAAACTTCAATTGGATCAATATCACATTTAAGAAAAAACATAACATAATATAAATAAAACCAAATTCTTTCAATAGCATCGTGTAATAGACATTGTTACAATAAAATAATTATATGTGTGTATGTTTTTTGTCTTTTTTCCTTTAATTTGTCTATGTCCTTACATATTGCCATATTAGAATAAAAACTGTGTATTTGGGGATATTTGTTTTTGTTCACATCATAGGGAAATGGCAGTGGTTAAATTTATGTTTTGTTTGACAATAACCGAAATACACCAAAAACAGTATAATAATTAAAAAAAAAACTATAGCATATTAAATTCAACATTGCTTTAGATTTTGTAAGACTATTAAGAAAAAAAAAAAAATAAGCAATTTAACATTCAGCATAAATTTGTTATTTTTTTTTGTGTTTAGTTTTCAGTTGCTTTGTTTTATTTTTTTAAATTTTTTTACCTATAGAAAATAAAATAAAGTAATTTTGCAATTATGTATTAAGTATTCGAATGTTTTTCACTTTTTTTTTTGGTTTTTGTTCCCTTGTATACAGTTTCATTTGGATTTCTTTTTTTTTTTTTTTGTTTTAATAAATAGCTATGATTAAACCTTTTTTAGTTGAGGATGTGACAAAATTAATTATTAATAAAGTAAAATATAAAAATATAACTTATTTAAAAAAAATATTAAACACACTACAAATAATTAATTAATAAAATGAAAATTAGCAAAACTTATAGCTAATTAGTTTAAAAAAAATAGTTCTTTGTTTGTATATGTGTAACTTAAATATTATATTGAAACGATAATAATGATACATTTCGCTTAAGTAATTGCGGCTGAGAACACGTACTCGTATCGACGACATCAACGCCATCTAGTGGATGATTGAGGCTATGCGAATCATAGCCTAAATCTTGCATTGGAACAACTTCGGGTAATAGGTGTCGCATATGGGATGATGGAGAGCGTCGACCTTTCATTTGATGTCTAAATTAATTAGAAAAGGAAAAAATATTAATTAGCTGGAGTTGAAATTTTCAAAAATGGATTTTAAAAAAAGAGAATTTAAACAAAACTTACGTATTGTCTTGTAAGGAATTTAAAGAAGACTGTCGACTAGGTTGTCAAATTAATGGTGGAAAAAATTAAAGAGGAAAAATAATTAATAAGATTAATTAAAAATTAATATATATATAAAAAATAATTATTGGGTATAAGAGAATTCAAGAGACTTTCAAGAAAAATATAATATAATAAAATACAAACTTAAAACTAATAATAATGTAAATTTTTCTCGAAAATAAGCCGATATACCATCAATTTATTTTAAAGCCTGTTGAAACTAATCCTTCAAAATCGAATAATCAGCTGATATTTGTTTACTTATACATACAAATTTCATAAACTCTCCCTAAAAGGAATAATAATCTAAACACAACCAGAGACAGTACTTTTTCTCCGGCGTGAAAACTTAACGAAAGAGTTAGCGGGACAAAATGCCAGTTATTTGTTTTCATTTTCAATTTATTCAGGAGATTCCAAGTTATACAAAATGTCGTATTTCCTCGATCAATTTTTCTTCCATTTTATTATTAATTCCTTAAAAAAAACTTTCACAATCTTTCAAAATATTTGTTTCTTTTTTAACAGCACTGCCATCTGTTTTGATATAAATTTCAATCGAAATGTTGGTAGCACTACTGGTTTGTACCTAAAATATGGCAACTCACTTGAGAGCAAGAGAGAAAATTTGAGTATAATGCTGAGCAAAAATAAAATCTATTCTAGCGTCAGAGTCTAAACGCAACCAGAGAGTCACGAGTCAGCGTCATACTTTTTCGCCGGCGTGAAAACCAAACGAAAGAGTTAGCGTTAGAGTCTAAACGCAACCAGAGAGTCACGAGTCAGCGTCATACTTTTTCGCCGGCGTGAAAACCAAACGAAAGAGTTAGCGTTAGCGGCACAAAATGTCAATTATTTCTTTTCTTTTTCTGACAGAAAATTTTACGTTGTGCAAACCAAAATCAATTTATTATTTAATAAACAATAATGTCAAGGAATTTGGATTAAATTATTGAAAAAAATATTTTTCTTCCATTTTATTAATAATTCAATAAAAAACATCCACAATCTTTGAAAATATTTGTTTTTTTAACAGTACTGCCATATGTTTTGATATAAATTCTCATTGAAATTTGGTAGCACTGTTGATTTTTACCTAAAATATGGCAACTCAATTGAGAGCAAGAGAGAAATTTTGAGTATGACGCTGAGCAAAAATGAATAAAATCTATTCTAGCGTCATGCCGCTAGACGCGAACGTCAGCCGTCGCGATTTCCCGTTGCCTATAAGAAACACACGGCAAACGACTGTCGCTGACTCTAGACTCTATGATTGCGTTTAGACTCTTAGAGGCACAAAATGTCAATTATTTGTTTTCATTTTCTGACAGAAAATTTTACGTTGTGCAAAACAAAATCAATTTATTATTTAATAAACAATAATGTCAAGGAACTTGGATAAAATTATCGAAAACAAATATTTTTCTTCCATTTTATTATTAATTCGTTAAAAAACATCCACAATCATTGAAAATATTTGTTTTTTCAACAGCACTGCCATATGGTTTGATATAAATTCTCATTGAAATTTGGTAGCACTGTTGATTTTTACCTAAAGTATGGCAACTCAATTGAGAGCAAGAGAGAAATTTTGAGTATGACGCTGAGCAAAAATGAATAAAATCTATTCTAGCGTCATGCCCAAGGTATATTTAATAAGGTAGCCGCATCGGCCCAGCTGTTGGACAAATAAATGTCAAAAATGTTGTTGTAATGTTGAACCAAAAAAATTAAAAAACAAAATTATAAATGAAAATCTCCGAATTTCGAAGAGCTTTTTTGGCAATACTTTTATTAACATTTTTTACAAGAATTTGTGTAAAAAAATCTTGTCAATCTGTTTGTTTTGGCAAAATATTTTTGACATATCAAAATACAACAACCGATGTTTGTTGTAGAAATTCGCCGATGCGGCTACCTTGTATATCTACCTTGGTCATGCCGCTAGACGCGAACGTCAGCCGTCGCGATTTCCCGTTGCCAATATAAACACACGGCAAACGACTGTCGCTGACTCTAGACTCTATGGTTGCGTTTAGACTCTCATGCCGCGAACGTCAGCCGTCAGGATTTCCCGTTGCCAATAAGAAACACACGGTAAACGACCGTCGCTGACTCTATGGTTGTGTTTAGACTATAACTCTGTAATTTTGAGACGAGCATTCCTTCTGATTCCATTATTCCTAGCAAAAAGGAAATTTCAGTACATCATTGCAGCTGCAAGCGCTAGATTTATTGCTTCTGGTTGTATATCGGAGATTAGACCAAATTTCCCAGCAATTGCATTTGATCAAGGAAATGAGTGTGATGAGTTCCATCGATTTAATCCAGCAGATTAGTCGCGGAACATATGCGAAAGTTATTTAATCCACAGTCTGTCGAAAACCTCAGAACGAAAGAGATCGTCCAAGAACAACGGGAGAGTTCGGGAACATCATTGTAGCCGCTAGATTTAGATTTATTCCTACTGGTTGAATAACCAAGATGAGACTAAATTCCTAGCAAAATCAGTTGATCTAGCAAATGAGCTCCAACGATATTATCCAGCAGATCCCAGGGTTAGGTAACTCATGTTGGAGTTCAGCAGATTAGACGCGGAACATAAGTCGATAGAACAATGTTGATTGACACATCAAAAGCCTTTGCAGCCATCGAGAATACTTCCAATCGGTGATGTTTGAAACAGTGTATAATCAATTATATGTGTGGAAGCTAACCGCAGGTGTGTGTCCGATATAAAAAGTCCAAACTCCGTAGAGTGAAGATGGTATTGAGGTGGTAGCGTATGCAGATGATTGTGAAATTATCCGTCAAAATTCTCGAGGTCATATTCGATATCATATTTAAATCGGCCGCGCTAACCATACCCAATTCACTGGCGGGCAGTACTTCGGGTGCTGACCAGAAGACCTTGCTGAGTTCGCTTAAAACAAAAGGCCGGAGTCAGAGGAATATGGTCCTCTCTGTTCATCGATGTTCATTCATAATAAAATGTTGTCGATGCATCACATCAGGAGAGAAAGGCCCAAAAATATTGGGTGTAACGTTCAAAAGCCCTTTCAAATCTACGCGCAAGCCACCGTTATTTGCGCTAGGCTGAGAAATATGAAGAAGTTCCTCAAATCGCAGGCCGCTTTATAACCTCTTATAAATCAATATGCAGTTGACCATTTACACGAGGAGACGAAGATCCTTCCAAAATGTCAGCAAGTCAATATGCTTTCGCATGATCTAGGGAGAGATTCAACGTTTTATAATAGGGATCCTCTTGATCAAAATGGCTATGGGTAAGTTTGAATAGCACCGATTCAGCTGTCAACGTTCTAAATGAATATAAAGTGAATGCCGTCTTCGAAACTCACCCTCGCTGAATAACGTCATCGGCCTAGACAAATCAGAGTAGTTTTGATTCAATTACGTTTAGGATGGTACACCCATTTCAATTCCTATTGGCCACGGATTGATAACAACGTGAAGAATGTCTGCCAGAAATTTGTCTCTGACTAAAAACTCGTTTTTTCGATTTTTGACATTTACCAACCAATGCAAAATCGACCAAATTTTTTATTTTTTTATATGAATTCTTGTCATCAGAGGGAATAAAGTTTTGGAATATGTAATTTTTGGAAATTTTGGCTTTATGACAATAAACCAAGTAGTTATGAAGAAAGTCGATCTTGAAAAGACGGCTTGGCGATTTCCTCAATACAAAAAGTCGATTAACCAAAAGTCGATTTACTTATCCCTAGTTGTGTCTCTCATGCCATGTTCTGACGGGCATTCGAACAACGTAGTTCGCTCTCAGAATTACGTACATGAATTAACCCGTTCATACAACACTATTCTTAATTCATGTCATCAGAGTTTTTTATTTCAAACTTGTTGTTTCTTGTTTTACACCAAAATTGTAACATATTTGCGTGAATCACATATGGATCTAAATAGAAAAAATAATTCTCTTTCTCCTGACTATAATATCAACCCCTATCTCTTTACTTTTAATTCAAGTTTTCCATTTTTCCTGAAAATATTGTTGCTTTCAATACATTTTTAAATTTTCTCACCTCAAATGACACATTTAAAAAATTGGAGAATTTTTGTTTGGGTTTCCCCACTTTTGTCTCTCGTTTTGTACGCTAATTAGAATAAAGGGGAAAGAAATGCATATTGCATCATGTAGACAACAAAATTTACATCCTTCAGCATATATAAAAACTAGAATTTTGTTTACTTTTCATTCATCATTTTCAATTTTACTGAAAAAGTTTGAAAATTTTAAAAATTTTTTCATGCTGTCAAAATTAATTTATTTTCGATAAATTCTCTCAATTGTTGTCAATTGTTCTCAAGTCTAATGTCAAAAATTTCGACTTTGTTTACGTTTTCATAATGGAAGTCAATTCACATTAATGCATTTTGACAGCAAACTTGAGAGGTATCGATAATCAGATGGTCTCCCTTGGTGACCTTATTTATAAGCCATGGGTTCAACCATGGCACAATAAATAGGTAGCCCATTTAGAGCAGCTGATGTCTCGATTAACTGTCAAAGTGCGTAATTTCTACTTGAATTCGATGTGCAGTGTTGCCAACCATGTGAAATATTATAAGGAAAAAATTGACAGATAATCGAGACAAAAACAAAGGTTTTTGTTTTGATACATCACCTTATTATTGCATCATGGGTTCAACCATGGCACAAATCTGTCAATTTTTTTCATATAATATTTCACATGATTGACAATATTGCACATCGAATTCAAGTAGAAATTACGCACTTTGACAGTTAATCGAGTCATCAGCTGTGCTAAATGGAATACCTATATATTGTGCCTGTGTTCAACTCCAATTAATTCGAAAGTGGTGTCTAGAAAAAAGATTTTACCCCGTTTTAATAAATTTATTTATTATTTAGTCAATTTGCTTCGTTACACCTCAAAGGAATGTCGTATCTTTGTAAAATGCATAAAACGGCATTTACATTAGAACTTTTACCGGGTTAAGATTGAAGATTTATTTGACATATATACAATGGAGTTGGCAATTCAAACCCACTGGGTTAACGAAATCCGTTACAATGTAAACGTACTGTAATAAAGGTGCAGGTATGTAGGGTTCTTGTTTGTTTTGGAATAAAGGGGAAACACATACGATGATTTAGGCCTGACCTGTTAAGTTAGCATTGTATGAAATGTCAATTTATAAAGGAATATCAGAGTCAAACTAGAATTTGGACGCCGTTCTCCTTTATTCTTTTACAATAAAATATGCCAACTTAACATGCCAATCATGAAGTTTTCCCCTTAAGTTCAAAATTGAATAGTTGGATAGAATTAAATAATAATAAAAAAATGAGAATAGAAATTTCGCGGGTCTCTATTTCAAAACTTACCTTTTATGCCGTTTTGCACTAAAACATGCACAACGACATGAACACATTGATGATATATTGGAACCACTGAACGATTGTCCATCATGACCTTCGTAACCGCTCAGTATGGAACCATTTGCAGTGATAACATCGCCTTCCAGCTTAACAGAACCTTGGAGAGCCTGTATATCATTAGATTTTTTTAAAAAAATATATATATAATAATTTCCAATTAGTATATATGTATGTATGGAGGACATGCACATTAATATATAAACATAGAATTTTCATTTTGTGGAAATAATAACAGTAATAACACAAAGACAACATGAATTTGGCCGTAATTTTTTTTTTTTTTATTTTCATAGTCAAAAATGGTTTAAAATAGGAAACGGAAATATTTTAAATACTGTATTCTGATAGGCATACGTAGAGATATACTGGTAAAGAGAGAGAGAGAGAGGGAGACAGCGAAAGAGAGCGTGATATAGATAGACAGTTAAAAAATGGTACTTAAAAAATTGTGGTTTCTGTTAATTTATTGTTTTTCTTGTTCTGGTGTTGAAAGGTCTTTCTAAAGAAAATCAGGTCAGGTTTAGAAGGTGTTTGCTTGTAGGTGTTTTCAAAGTTTTTTTTAGAAATTAGAAAAATATATTGATTGTATAACAAAAACTCTAAAGCTCATAATAAAAAATTTTCAAATGTAAATGCATAACTCTACCTCGCTTGTCCAAAAATTGGACTTGGTCATAAACTAGTTTCGATTTGTTTGGTAATTGTTTTTTTTTTAATTTTATAAGGGTCCGATATTTTTTATATTTGTCAACGAGAGAAAAATAAGAAAAAATGACAACATATGATTATGAATTGTTTTAATTCGTTTCGTTAACTTAACCAACAGTTTTTTTTTGTGTTAAGTAATTATTCTTTTTGTAATATCTAATCTTGAATAAAAAGAAGAAAAACTAAAGTGCTCTGCGTAATGTAATGTGCTAAAGAAAACATTGAAGTTTGAAGAGAGAGAGAACAAATAAGCGTTTTCCTTTTATAGATATAAAGCAAATAAATCAGCAGTTAAGGGATATCAAAAGTGTAGAGTGTATTTTTTAATTAATTACAAAATAAAACTGTTGTCAAGGTATATTTAATAAGGTAGCCGCATCAGCCCAGCTGATGATGCAAATAAATGTCAAAAATGTTGTTGTAATGTAGAACCGAGTTTTGAAGAGCTTGTTTGGCATTACTTTTATTAACATTTTCTACAAGAATTTGTGTAAAAAAAAACTTATGAATCTGTTTGTTTTGGCAAAATATTTTTGATATATCAAAATACAACAACTGATGTTTGTTGTAGAAATTCGCCGATGCGGCTACCTTATATCTACCTTGACTGTTGTTATTTATCATGCAATCAATTGCTCCGTTCACGTACTTTTGATAGTAAAGCTAGTAAAAAAAATTGAAATGTAAATTATTAAGGGGGAATACATACGAGGATTCAGTCCTGGTCTGTTAATTTGACTTTGTGTGAAATGCCAATTTATAAAGGAATATCAGAGTCAAAGTTGATTTTCCATGCCGTTCTCCTTTATTCTCTTACAATAAAATAAGCCAACTTAACAGGCCAAGCCTGAAGTCCTCTTATGTGTTTCCCACTTTACTATCATGTACAAGATTTGTCCAAAAAGAGAACGAAAGATAGTAAAAACATGAAAATGCGTCAAAAATGCATGCTTTGGTCACGATAAACGGACTACAGAAACCTCAAATAGACGCCTAAGAGTCTAAACGCAACCAGAGAGTCTAGAGTCAGCGACGGTCGTTTACCGTATGTTTCTTAAGTGGGCCACACACGTCAAACATGTGTGTTCGATCGGTGTGAAGCTTCTAGTCCATACACGTCAAACGGATCCACCAAACTTCATTTCGTATTTATTTTTGAAGCGTGAAGATAGACCGCGATAGTGATGACGGAAAAAAGAACAAATATTTTTTTTAATATAAATGTATTAAATACTTTTATTTTATTTCGGGAAAAACTTTTTTATTTGCCACACAGTGGAATATGTGTAAAAAATATCAAAAAAATCTTCCAAATGCTGATCCGCACTCCACGAAATTTCGCAACAAATGAGAAAATATCCACACACCAGGCCACAGACGTCAAATATGTGCGCGTCGCACAACGAAAAATTAAAAATTTTTAATTTCTTTCGATCGGTGTGCGCACCGGCAAATCGGTGTGAACACCGTACCACACATGTCAAACATTGCTTCGATTCACACCCATCGAACGCACATGTTTGACGTGTGTGGGCCACTTTATTGGCAACGAGAAATCCCGACGGCTGACGTTCGCGTCTAGCGGCTTGACGCTAGAATAGATTTTATTCATTTTTGCTCAGCGTCATACTCAAATTTTCTCTCTTGCTCTCAATTGAGATGCCATATTTTAGGTAAAAATCAGCAGTGCTACCAACACTTCAATGGAAATTTACATCAAAACATATAACAATGCTGTTAAAAAATATATATTTTCCAAGATTGTGGACGATTTTTAACGACTTGGAAGCAAAATTGATCGTGGAAATAAAAAATACATCATTTTGTATAACTTGGGATCTCCTGATTGCAAAACCACAATCAAAAAGGAAAAAAAAATGGAAGAGCATTGCATTTTGTGCCGCTAGCCGCTAACTAGTATACCGCTGACTCCTGACACTCTGGTTGCGTTTAGCTCTAAAACAGCATAAAGGGAAGAACACATACGAGGATTCAGTTCGGACCTGTTAGTTTTGTATGAAATATCAATTTATAAAGGAATAACAGAGTAAAACTTTGTCAAATTTTGGACGCCCTATTTCTTTATTCTTTTACAATAAAATAAGCCAACCTAACATGCCAAGCCGAAAGTTCCCCTATGTACTTTCCCCTTAGAACAATTATTGATCGACTTAATTTGTTGGACACTACAAAGTTTATTTCTCACAAAAATTAAAAAAAAATGCGTGTTTGTCGAATCGATAGCACTGTGTAAATTCATAGTTTTAACTGCTCAATCATGGCATAACTGTACAAGGTAGTCTCATTTGAGAAATTGATAATGGCAACCCTTCTTAATATGGAAATCATATATCAATCTATACTAATAAAGGACTAAAGTGATTGACTGACTGATTTAACGATTCATCAACGCCCAGACGAAACGGTTGAAGCTAGACACTTGAAATTTTGGGTGAGGGTCACTCTTGGTCCAAAGGTGACAGATAAAGCTGGGTTTTTGGAAATTCGTACTAGAACGGTACGAAAAGTACTAAATGTGATACCATTTGTATCACAACTTTTAAATTATAAATAAGGAGTGGAGAATAGATATAGCAAAGGGGTTTTTGGATATTCGCACTATAAATATGCGAAAATTACTAAAATGTACTAAATTTGGTACAATTTCGTAGCATGTGAATGGATAAAGCTAAAAACTTGAAATTTGGAATGCGAATTAGGATTGAGATGAAGTTTATATTTAAGGATATGGTTTTGAAAGCGTGTACTCATGTGTACGAAAAGTATTATATGGTACTGTATTTGGTACAAATTTCATTTGGAGATAAAAATCGACTTGGAAACCTGAAATTTGAAATTAAAATTACCGTCGGAGTGTAGAACTGCATATACATTAGAACTTTTCACCATGTTAACCTACTTGAGGATTTATTTGACATATATGAAAAGGAATTGACAATTGAAACCCACTGGGTTAACGAAATCCGGTTAAATGTAAACGTATTATAGGATTGGGATATGTACTTCGTTTTGGAAATTTATTACATATGTGTATGAAAAGTACTAAATCGTACCATAATTAATACTTGTGGGTACTAAATTTGGTACAATTTGAATTTTAGGTGAACCAATAGAGCTAGAATCATGAAGTCATGATCACTGTTGAGGTGTAAGATTGTGATATGTAGGAAGTTTTAAAAATTTGTACTAAAAAAGTACTAAATCGTACCATAATTAATACTTGTGGGTACTAAATTTGGTACACTTTGAATTGTGGGTGAACCGATAGAGTTGGAATCCTGAAACTTGGATTTGGGATCACTGTAGGGTGAAGGTTTGGGTTAAATAGGATGTTTTGGAAATCCGTACTACTGTGTACTAAATTTAGTACAATTTGATGTGTGTGGAATCCTGAAACTTGGATTTAGGATCAGTGTGGGGGTAGGATTGGGGTATGTAGGAAGTTTTGGAAATTGGACCAATCTTCACGAAATTTTGCATGTAGCATGAGTTCTGGCCAATTAATCCCCTATTGTTTTTGGTAATGTTCTGTTAATATTTAATAAAAAAAAATATTTAATTTTTGTCGGTTTTTCTGATTGCTCCATAGGCCACAATTATGGCCCAAACATCGCCAATTTTTACATGGAGAAGGTGATCGGGCCAAAGAATAAGTATGCCTGTTTTGA